TCCATGTTGAAAACACAGACCCCCCTTTTTTTGTCCGTGCAGAGCTACCAGTCCCTTCCAGTAAGCTCAGCCAGAAAAGGGACCCCCTTGAACTCTATCAATCGGGGCGAGCGATTCAAGGTTTTGCTGGGCCCCCTTGATTTCCAGATCTCCCCTTCCATCGAGGAGATGACACGTCTATCTCTTAAGAGTCCTAGTTTTGCAATAAACCGAGCCACAGAGGCCTGCCGTTCGCCATTTCACTTCCCCACGGGTGGCGCCAAGGATAAAGCATGGGGCTAGGCCTCAGGAGACCTGAGTTCAAATCCACGCAAATTCACTCTGCAAGGGTGCCCCCACTAGAAGCGCATCTCGGCCCTTGCGCTCCGCTCCTGTGACCGCTCAGGGCCACCCTATGTCAGCATCAACTCAGTTTTAGTTTTATATTGCTGGTGCTTAGGGGTGAAGATGCCTGAGCATCTCCACTCCTGTGTTGCCGAAGTTTTTATTTTCTTTCGGCCTCACTGCCATCCTCTATGTCTGGCTGGGCCTGACTTGGCTGAGCCGCTATCTACAGATTTATTTCCACATAACGTGTTATAGCCCAGGAACACCGCTTGCAAAAGACACCCAGTACTTTCATTGATTTTGTCCTCCTGGGTTTATAAAGATCTCGCTGCTTTGCTGCCTAAAATAGCTTTCTTTTCCTTGCTCTCACACTCTTTCTTTCATTTCCCTGCTCTTCTTCTTCTTTGGCCTTTCTCTTTTATCCCTGCGTTAGACAAGGACACGACACCTGCAGCGCAACGCCTGGCTCGCATCCTCTGCAAGCCCAGCGCACCCCACGGACGGCATGCAAGTCCTCCGCCAGCCAGCCATCCATCGGCGGCTGCTGCAGTCGAGCTGCATTGCACACCCAGCGTGCCCGAAATGCGTGCATCTGATGGACCGGGGAAACTGCTGCAGAGATAAAATAAATAAATAAGTAAATGCACAGCCCTCGCCTCGCTGTCTCTGCCCCCACCCCCTTGGCCACCCCCTTTCCTGTTTGATGATGGCTGAATGCTGTATGCAGAGACGGTTCCCCTGCTCGTTAAAACAGGCCTTAAATCAACGCCATCGCAAAGCGAAAACGAAAACGAAAAAAATAAGCCGAGCTGCAAATAATTGAATATGAAGCCATCGCCCGTGTGTGTATTCATTTTCGGGTTATGAATTGTCTTGCGGCAGCAGCCGGACAAGAGAAGGTTGGAGAACTGGTGGCAAGTTTCTTCCTGCGTAAACCACCCTCCAGGAGAAGTTTCAAGGCCAGCCTGGAAAAGGAGGCGTGCAACCCGAGACCCACAAAGACCCGGAACAGCCACCTGGGAAAGATGCATGTGCCTGTTTCATATGCATCTGATACGTTGCAGGGCTGGAAAAGATGCATGTGCCTGTTTCATATGCATCTGATACGTTGCAGAGCTGATCCCTTGGCACAGGGGTTTCCTTTATGGAATAAATCCATCTCTTGTTTGGCCCTCCTCATCTCCTGCTGCCCTCAGTGCGTCCCGGTGGTGCTGTTCATTACCAGCTGTTCTGGTGGAACGGTTGCAATCAGAGCAGCTCGTTAAATCTCCGGCGATTTGGTGAAATTAGCTGGTGGAGCTTGGGGACTGGAGGTTCTTTTTACCAGTTTCACTGCACTGGTGTCAAAATATGCTGTTCTAGCTCTGTTTGTGCAGTATCGGGGTGGGGGTGGGGAACCACCCAAACCTTGGAGAACAGACAAGGTTGCCAACTGACCCAGGAGAGCTAACTCATATGCTCCTGTGCATTCAGCTACTTTTCCTTGGGCAGATGCCTCTGTAAGTCCAGTCCAGAC